ACACACACACACACACACACACACACACACACACACACACACACACACACACAAAGGGCAATAGGGCTAGGGGTATATCTCAGTGGTAGAACATTCTTGCCCAGCATGAGTTAGGTCCTGAGTCCAATCCCAAGCATTGCCAAACAAAACAAAACAACACACACACACACACTCACAAAATAACAATGTGTTGCAAGCTGGCTACACAGCTGTAATCCCAGCACTCTGGGAGGCCGAGGCAGGAGGATTACAAGCCCCTACTATATGGTCAGTTTAAGTGATGCAGCAAGACCTTCAATCAAAAATAAAAAGAGATGGGATTTTTATCAGTGTAAAGGCCCTGTGTTCAATCCCTAGTACCACGACTAAAAGAAAAAAAAGTTAAGGAGGTAGAAAATTGGAATCTTTCTATATTCCTGGAGGGAGTATAAAGTGGGATAGTTGTTTTGAGAAGCAGCTTGATATTTCTTCAAAAATACAGATAGAAATATAATATCATCCTACAATTCCACTTCTAGGTATATATCTGAAAAAATTTAAAATAATTTAGCATAAAAATTTATACATAAATATATTCTGTTTTCTTAATAGCCAACAAGTGAAGGGAACTCAAATGTCCATGGATGGCTGAATGAATAAACAAATAGTCTGACCATATAATGGGTACCGGCTGGCAGTGAAAAACAGCATTGTGATGCAGGTTGCAACACACTGAGAGGCAGGACCTGCACTGGGACCAGGTGCTTGCACCAGCTCCTCCCATCACCATGACCCTCATCAGCCTCTGCCCTGTGCAACTCACCTGAACCACAAGCACAATGAGCCAGTCTCCAGACTTGCTTCTGACACCATAGCCTTGATGATGCTTCAAATACACTGTCTTAACTCAGCCTTAGTGGTCTGGCTGGACTTCTTTGCACCCTCTCCTTCCCCTGCTGTATACCCCATGAGCCAAACCCCTCCCTTTTCTTCAGGCTCTAGGTCTGGCCTCACTCCCCAGAGGCTTTCCCTGACCCCCATCTGCACAGAACTCCCTAGTTTGCTCTCACAGCCCTGTCCCCATCCTGCAGCACACAGACTGCAGTTGTCAATCACGTGTCTCTACTCCTTGCACTAGACACTGAACTTCAGAGCAGGTTCTTCACCTTGCACTTGCAGCCCACATTGACTAGCTCTCCAAAATCTGTGGATGAAGACTAGAAAAGCATGACAACCTAATCCCACTCTAACATTGGCACTCCCCTCCCAAAGCAGAGATCTCACTCACATGTGCTTAAGCTCAGGAGGAAGCAAAGAGAGTTGGCATCAAGCTTCTCCAGATATCCTTCTTACACCAAATGTATGCTAACTTCAGTTTGTGAACCCCTAATGTTAGTTCTCTTCGGAACCTACCCAGTCAATGTGAAAAGCAGCCTTGTTGGATGTCTCATCCTTTGTGAGGGTGGCAGCCAACAGGGCCACCATGCCAGGCTCTGAGGGGTGCTGGCAGAGCCCCTGCCCCAGTGGCATTTCCCAGACAGCTATGCAGGACATCAGCATGGAGCCAGTAAGGGTAATGCAAATGATTTATCATTTTAAAATACATCAGAATGTATCAGAGATAGATAATAACTTCACTAGGTTGTAATGCTTCCTGAAAGGAAATGGATAACAGTGGAGCTAAAAAGCTGCCACAGCCCTCACTCTGCTTTATGGCATTCTGACTCCACAGTGAGGCTTGAGATGAGACAGGCACTCCTCCAGGAGACAATCCCAGTTCTATATATTGCAGAAAACCCACCTCCTGACCTCCCAGGTGCCTGCTCATCCCCTCCTCACACTGGACACTCCAGTCACAAAAGGTGCTGATGGCCGTGCCCATCAGCTGGTTGCTGCCCCTCCCACCTGAGGCCACTCTTCTGAGCCTGGCGAGCAGCCCCCCTGGCTCAGCTGCCAGCTGCTTTCCTTCTTATACAGAGTGTCCTTTTTTTCCAGAAGTCTGCTCAGGCTCAGTGACCCCTAGCTACACAGTGCTTAGGACTCCATGGCACTGCTGCCACAGGGTGTGAGCACTGATCACTCTTGTGTCTCAATAGAGCTTTGGCCTGTCTGATTTACCTTGAGGGCAACTGGGTAGCACACAGCGGGTGACAGGGCAGACAGAGTGGAGCAAGAATGGGTAGAGCAGACAGAGCCAGGCACTGCGGCTCTCTCAAACAATGTAGAAGGGTTTTATCCAAGTTAGGCCTGTCTCAGGCTCCAGCAGCCTGCCATTACCAGAGCCAACTGTTATTCCTGCACATGTTTGGCAAGGTCCCACATGAGGGTGTCTGGGACCCATAGCATTTATTCCTCCCAGCTTTTAGTTGCTTCTAGTATTTCTAGTTGGAAAAAGTAATGTTCATAGCATAGCTAAATTATAAGTACAAAATAAAAGGCCAAGGCTGGGCTGTGGCTCAGGAGTAGAGCACTTGCCTAGCAAGTAGCTAGTCTAGCACCACAAAACACAAAATAAAACACAAAACAAAATGCCAAGACCACTCCAATTAAATAGAAAAACAATTTATCTAGCATTTCAGAAGCTGCTTCACCTTAACTAAATAACCATGAAATCTGATATATAAATAATGTGAGACCTGTGGTAAAGAAATACATTCTGTGTGGGTTTCAGCATATTACTGACTTCTGGGAAGAACTTGATGGCCACCACAAAGTTACAGGGAATGGCAGAGGGGACTGTAACAGAAAACTACTCTTAGAGTCTACCTGAGGCAACAAGACTATTTGGTTCAATCCAAGAAAGAAGCATCAGCCACCCTAACTGGTTAGTGTTGGGGCCTCCGGTAGCTCAAAGAAAAAGCAGAGAAGGTGAAAGGAGCAAGGCAAAACAGGAAAATGATAAATGCCATGGGCCAGACCAGACTCTAGTGCCTGTGCCCAGCCTCTGGGTGACAGCTGTCTCATCCACATCTGATTTCTGTCTACACTGCCCTCAACTTCACTTGGTGTTTATCTTGTCATATACTGGCCTACAAGAGGATAGAAGTGCTGTTGGCTCATTAGCCTCTTAGAAATAAAGTTGTTTTAATTCTTAAGCAAAAATAACACTCAGAAATTGACAGAATTCTCTGAAACCCAGTCACATTTCCACCTCGAGGCAACCCTGAATGGTAGACAGGACAGATGTTCAACAGCAGGAGCTGGCCACTTTAAATTATAACACATTCACACTGTAGAACACGGTGTAGCCATGGAAAAGGATGCAGTGGAAAATGTGCTAATATGAATAACCTTCCAAATGCAGTTGAAAAGGCAAGGGTCAGAAGGTTCTGCAAAGGATAGGGGAAAAGAATACATGCACAGGTTTGACTGCATAGTTACAAAGTATCTCTAGAAGGAGAGAAGAAAAGCTGGTCACAGCAGCCTCCAGGGAACCAGGCTGGAGGAGAGGCAGGAGGCTTCACTGAGCACCCTCTGTACTTCAAAGCATGTGAATGCATTCTCTGCTCAAAAATAAATAAAATGTAAAACTTTTAGGAAACAAAAACAAAGCAAATCTACTGAGAACCAAACAATTTATACTTTAGAAAGCAAGAGATGAGAGAGGCCCCAGTTAGTTGAAAGCAACCAATATGAAGGAAATGATGGTCACTCCTCCAGTCTGTGGAGCATTCTCTGCAGCACTGTCCAGAGCAAACCTACCCATGCTTTACTGAAGATACAAGTAAAAAGATATTGAGTGCCTCAAGAGAGAGAGACAGAGTCCGTCTGTGTTGTCCCCAGGCCAGGTAGAGACAGGCATACCACCCACAGTGCCACTGAGGTGAAACAGAAAGAATATGATGGGCTGAGGAGGAAAGAGGAATTGCTCCTACTGAGGCAGGCTGAGCCAACATCAAAAGAGCTAAAGGACCATATGAGTTTTTGCATGTTTTTTGGGAGGAGGTAGCCCATTGGCTACACAGCTCTGCCAATGAGAGCAGAGCAGATTGGTGTAATGTGATCTAGGAGGCACTGAGCCAGAAGGCAGGGGTAAGGAGCCTGGGTGCCATCTTGGACTATAGAATGTAGTTAGCATCCCTGGTTTCCACAAATCTCTGGCTACCCCCTCTCAAGGGGACAATCCAAAAATGCCTCCAAACACTGCCAAAACCTGGGGGAGGGGATGGTCAAAATTCTCCCAGGGTGAGACCACTGCTCAGTCCACATCACCTGAACAATTATGAGGAGGGGGAAGAAGGAGTTCATGACTGAGAGGGTGAGCCAGGAAGCCAGGCTTCTGGTAGCACCAAGCAAATAGTGGTTCCAAAGCATAGAAAGCCAAGCCCACATTAATACATGCACAAATAATTGAGTAGACATTAGCAGCTTAATTTAATTTTTTGTATGTGCTTTTTTTGGTATTGGGGACCGAACTCAGGACCTTGTGTTTGTGAGGCCGGTGGGGAACCACTGAGCCAAATCCCCAGCCCTAGCTGTTTAATTTTAAAAGTACTAAATAAACAATACTTGATAAACACCTGTATAGAGCCTTAAAAAAATACTCCTAACATTAAATAGCATGATTGTTTGCCACAGAATTCCAGGGACTTTAAAAAACAAAGTAGGGAAGAGCTGTACCAAATGTTGAAAAACAAAACAAAAAAAAACTCCACCCAGCAAAGCAAACAAGGGCTGCCAAGTTTTTCTCAGAACACACACTGTCAAAGACCAGTATGAGTTCCACTTCAAGATTACACCCCCAGGGACCATTCCATACCCATCAAAGCCCAGGTGATAGCAATGAACTTTTTTTTTTTTTTTTGAGACAGGGTTCCACTTTGAAGTGAGACAGACCGGGAATTCACTATGTAGCTCAGGCTAGTCTTGAACTCACAACGATCCTCCTGCCTCAGCCTCCTGAGTGCTGGGATTACAGGCATGCGCCACGATGCCAGGCTTGCAATGAAGTGCTCTTATATCACTGTCACATTTTAGGGGTTGAAAGGATGGCAGATACTATTGACCCATTCAAGTTTAGGAAGACATACCCAGGAAAAAGATGGCCACAGGGATCTAAGGTTCTAAGAACAACATAAGTGGATATGAAGCAATGCCACAGGCCAGGTAGGTTGGAGGAACGTCGAAGCAGAGTGAACACAGTAGCCAGATGATCAAACCAGTAAGACTTGATCACAGGGCACAGGGAAGATCAGCTACACAAATTTGGGTGCTACTCAAAGGAGCCAATGAAAAAACTCAATGAGGTGGGCGCAGGAGGCCCATATGTGGCCAACACTTGAGGGTAAAGAATCTACATGAGGAGGCAAAAACAGAGCAATGGGCAAATGGACCATTTTCCAACAGTACTGCTCTGCATGCAGCAGCTGCACATCCAGTCTGCGCTGCTAAGCAAAGCCTTGTGGTCTCCTTATGCAATACCCACAAAGCCAACTGTGAGAGAAAACACGTAAGGGCCAGCACAGCAAAGGGATTTTGCTAGTAAAACTAGCTATCTCAGTATAACAAACCAAGAAGAAATTTAACAAGAGGCTGCACTGAACCTCCCTATAGTGTGCAGTTCCTAAACTACAGCCTTCTGCCCAGCACACATGTGGGAGAGAGAGGCAGGATAGACATTTTTAAAAAATCAATCTGTTACTTTTTAAAAATATTAAACATGCTTACCCTCAGTATCACAAATTTCAAAATTTTACTTAAAATGGAAGGGGCTTTGTCTAATTTTTGTGTCATATAGTATAAAGGTGGTAAAAAACTAGAGACTGAACTCAGAATCTTCACACTGAGCTAATCTCCAGCTGTTTGGTGTGGATGTGGGTGTTGTTTTGTTTTGTTTTTTTTGAGACAAGACCTCACTTTAGGATAAATTGCCCGCATTGGCTCAAATCCTCCTGCTTCAGCCTCCCAGAGTGCTGTGACTAAATTCTCACTTTCTATTCCTCATGTCCTCACCTTCACTTAAAATTTATTTTAACAAGTCACCTTTCCTGTTACAAAATAACCCTGAAATATAATAATGGCTTTGGAGGTTTGACTCAAATGTTGGGAGGGAATTATCGAGAAGCTGCTTGCAATTCATTTCAGTAAACACCAACCTTACCTAACTCAAGGACTGTAAGAACATACTATGGTTTTCTAGAGTGGTTCATTAGAAGCTTTCTTTTCCCAAAAATAATTTTAAAAACAGTTCTATATGATTATTTAACTACACGAGATTTGTTCTTCCTTTATCTTTACCAAGATCTGTTCCTCCTAATACATCCTCAGCTTGCTTGTGTAAGCAGCTAGAGCCACAGACTTCAGGCTGGTGTAATACTATAAGGGCAGTGGTAATGGTCAGCTGAAGAGCCCATGACCCACCATATGCACCCACTGCATCCAGTCCTCCGCACAGCTAACCCTGTAGCACCCACATCAATCCACAGCTAAAGCCATCACATCCGGGCCAACCCACAGCTAACCCTGTAACACCCAAGCCAACCCACAGCTAACCCTGCCAGGCCAGAATCTTGGCAGTATGACCAATTCCTAACTTTAAAAAGCACTCACAATGTGCCAGGCACAACGTGTTCTACAAGTCGTAGTTCACTGGGTCCTCACAATAGCCTTCTTGGGCCAATACATTTGTGCACCCATTTTACAGCCAAGGAACCAAAGGCAGAGATCTTGCTATGACCACAAAGCTAGTAAAGGAAGAGTCACGACTCAAAGGCCGTCAGCCTGGCTCCAGAACCTGCTCTCTTATCCACACTGCTTCTCCTGGCTACCTTCTCCATTCCCTCCAGCACGCAGGGCCCTGAGTGCCAGCCAAGGATGGCGGTCACACCTCATACATCCCCGCCCCTCGTTCACTGTGAAAGGTGAGCCGCGGTGGGAACCACCTGCTGTTTACAGCCGGTACCCAGGACGCAGTGCTCAATTCTCCTCCCCACCTCCCAAAGACAAACGTTCGTATTGTGTGCGCCGGGGGAGGAACTGAAGCCTTGCAACTGTAGGTTTTTCTGCAGAGGTCACTGAAGGCTCGACCAAACCCGCGCACACGGAAGGGGGAGGGGGGCCCAGCCGCATTTTTGCCGCTGAAGCTGCGCAGCGCCCACAGCAGCTGCGGCTAGCAGCAGAACGGAACACACCCACAGCTGCCGCGCCCGAACCGGCCGCACGCTTTAAAATAAAGACATCCGGCCGCGGCGCACGGCTCCGGTCACCGGGAGGCCCCGGAGAGACTCGGAAGGGCCAGCAGAGCCTGCCGCAGAGGCCGAGCTTCCTCGTACAGGCAGCCATACCCGGGCCTGGAGACTCCCACGGCCCCGCGCCTCCCACACAAAGACCGGCCCGGGACGCCCCGAGAACCCCACTTGTCTCCAACCCTGCAGCACCCCGGAATGAGACGGCGCCCTGCGCAGAAGGGCACAAACACCTGCCCCCAGGCGGGCAC